ATTTCAGGGCTTTTTGTGACACATGGGAAACACACGTCTTGAGAACTTGCAGGTTATCCAGTTAACTTTGACTGCCTTTTTCAATTTTCTGAAACCTTTGTTCCTCTTCTTAATGATCTATCATGTCGTGTACTTTATTTTCTTGAGCAGTTAAACATTTTAGTAGCTACCATTCTTGATTGCAGCAACAAAGGAATATTAGAGGTAGTCACAGGAAGAAAAATGTATTTATATTAGTCTGTATTTAATACTTTCTACAGTAGTCTATTGACAGTCTGATTTTATCTACTCTATCTAAAGATTGTTGGTTTTGGTGTTGAGGCTTTATCATTTTTTTTTTCCACCTGGAATACAAAGTTTTTATGCCACTTCAGTGAAAATAACTGCATGCTCACATCTGTATTTTTAACTTACTAATTGCGTTTTCAATTCTGTAATTGTATTTTTTCTTTGTATCCATAAATACATAAATGACTTCAAAATAAATTGTATGACTAATTAATTTTATGCACTTTAATTGAATAGAGTAAATCAGACTTTTAAATATCTCAGGAGAATAGAAAATCTGTTGGAAACTGTGGGTGGTTCTATTAGACTGACTGTAGCTTCAGTATTAAGTATTTATTTCAAAAGAAGTTTAGCCCAAGTAAATGAAATTTGAAATCTTAAAACTCCATCTTAACAATTGGAAACCAATAGTTACAGTCGTGGGTTTGACAATTAAGTGCTGACAATCTGAGCACTCCAGTTAGTTCTGTGGCTGTTGATTAGGATTCAGTGGTGATTAGTGAGTGTGAGGATGCAATCACATCTGTAGGATTTAATCAGTCCAGTGCTGGATGAGGTAGTCCGAAGATGAAGAGAGAAACTAGAACTTCTATATGTAGTACTGTATGGGGTTTTTTTCCCCTTGCTATAAGAAGAAGAAGAAGAAGGACAAAAAGTAGAGAAGCCTTTCCCCTCCTCCCCAAACTTGCAGGTTTTTAAATTGTAGTATTGACTGCTTAGTTCTGTGATGAAGGAGAAAAATATTGTTAACACCTGTGAAGGGGAGAGAAGATGCATGGGGATATCACATAGGCACACTCTCTGACGTTCAGCATTCTTACACTTGTGAGCAGGATTTGTTTTTCCACACTGTGCAACCGTGTATCTGGTTTTTCTTTTCGTAAACCTAGGATTTTAAGTGTTTAGCTTGGACGTATAGAATATTTTGGTGTGTCTTATTTTCTTCTGTTATACATTGTGATTATATGCTGTCTTTTTAACACTGAAAGCTTGTATCTTAAAAGAATAATGTACAAAGATGAACATTTTGTCCTCTGCCTTTCTGTGAAGCAGATAAGTGAATGTTAATGTGTGCAGAAACAGAAAACCATTGTGGGTACTCTTGTCTACAAAGGAAAACCCTAAAGGAAAAACTTTTGGATCTTTGCTGTGCACAAAGCTTCTTTGTGACCTTTCTGACTCTGAGTAAAGGTGACCATGTGCTGAATCCTCCTTTAGAACCATCTGCAGAGACATTCTTAACTTAGAGGAGGGATGGTGTTGTTATCATCTGGCAGTGCAAGCAGTCCTCCCATTACTGCCCTTTGGTTTACTGCTACTGCTGCCACTACTTTTCTCTCCCCTACTATGTGTAGCTCGATTTGTGTAAATAGTATTGCCAAATTCTGTGTGATTTTTTTTTTTGTTACATTATTTTACATTAGCACCTATGGATCTCTATTTGTCATATATCCACATAAGAGAAGCTTGTTCCTACCCTGCACAACTTATAATTTAACAGCAAGATTCATGTTTTAAAGCAGTGTTTGCTGAGAGCATGTTGCGGTGCAGATTACAATGTTTGGGTTTAATAGCAGGAGCTGTTCCTTTTATGTATATTTATACAGTGTCTAAAAGAATAGGTGTGGGTGAGCTGAGCATCAATCTGAAGAGGACAAAACCATAAATTAATTAAGAAAATTTAAGGAAAGGGAGATTAAAATGCCAAATGTTTTAAAAAGGACTAAGTATTTCACTGTTCCTGTTAGCCGGCCCCTGCTTCTATGCTTATATTGTGTATTACACAAACTGCTGTACCTCAGAATTCTGGTTTTCCATTTTTTTCATATTTGGTTCGGTTAACTTTCGCCTCCTAAGGAAGCAAAAAATCAGTAGGACTGTATTAACTTTATTTTCTAGATCTCCGAACAGGATTCTGCTATTGCATTTCTGGCTAAAAGGTCCTATAGCCCAGAATATCTAGCAGATATTTTTGAAATAGACTGTATAATGTTATATCATATTAGGATCAGTAGTAGTGCAATCACGGCAGACAAACAAGCAAGATTTATAGGGAAGAGAAATATCTTTCAGTTAGGCAACTGTTTGTAGCTTTAAAAAGGCCAAAAAACATAAATAAGCTTTTGAACACACAAGCTCTTCTTGACTAGTGTCACTAATGATAGTGATTTTTCTTGAATAGTGATAATACTAATTACTTTGAAGAAAAAGGGAAGGAAGACAGAAAAAATTAATCTTCTTTGTAGCTGTATTGGTAGTATTTACATCTACAGTTCTTAACTCCAAAACTCATTCACTGTAATGTTAAATCATGGAGTCATAAAAGGCTGTCTGTGAATTTAAGGAGTGACGAGTTTGTAAGTGGAACACAAGCGGACTAAAATAATGTAGCACTGCTTGTTGATTTCTGTTTCATCAAGTTGCAACGACCTGCATAACATAGCCCAGTACCAGCCTGTATTTGAGTGCCCAGAACTCCTGCTCCACTCAGCACTCATTAGAAGTTGAGCCACAAGCACCAGTGTAAATATCAGGGCAACAAATTTACATGAGCTGCAGTGTTCAGGTGTACTTTTTATTTCTTTCAACCCTACCATAACTACAGAATACTCTAAACTATACATAGTTCTGTGTTTGCACTTCACTGCATGCAACACAACATGCTGAGGGAGCAGTAGAGTTTGTAAATCCGTCTTGAAAGGCCAAAGAGGTGAGGCTGAATTAACGCAAGATTGATGATCTCTTGTTTCCAGGAGAAAACCCCCAAAATTATGAACAGCATGACTAAATATCCGAGTATCTAAAGTTAATCTAAGTAATCTCAGAGTCCCCAAAGCTGTAGTAGTAATCTGCATTTTTTTTTTTCCCTACTAGCATAAAGAAAATAGTACTTAAGCTAATCTTCTACTTTGGAAAAATAAAACATTAGGTGGAAAGATACTGGCAAATAAAAGCTAAGTGCACCAGCTTTGCTGGGAAATTTCAGTAATCTTCCTTGTAGCCTTGGCTGCCAGACTGATGCTGAAGAAAAGCTTAAACAGCCTCCCTCCCTTGTGCATATTATTACATGCCTCTGAAACTTTTTTCTTCTGCTCTGTCATTCTCCTTCTTTGTGAGCTCTCACGAAAAGAAAGGGAATAGATTATAATAATATTGTAGCACCAACGCTATTGTGTCTGCAGTAGCCTTAGTCCAAGATAACGATTTGATTAGCATGGCTTTTTCACTTACTGGAATTAAAGATATGTGGATTTTCCTGGGATTCTGTGCTTTCAGGATGGGTTTTTTTTCACCTTCTTTCTTCAGCTGTATGTCTGTGCAGAGAAGGAGGAGGTTTAAAATCAGTATAGAGCCTTCAGTAATAGCCAAGGGCAAAAAATTAGTGCAATGAGTCATCACAGTCACTCCTGCAATGTCCTGTGCAACGCATTTGTTCAAAAGGACCATTGTTCCTTAAAATCACTGATGATAGTTCTTCTAAATTATTTCCCTGCAATGTAGTTGCTATAAATGAGGTTTGACATTTCCAATTTTGTTATTTGAATGGCCTCAAGGAGGTTTTGAAAAGTTTGACACACAGAATATGAAATGCTTAACAAGACTATTAAAGATAAACTAGTAGTTCATAGTGCAGTGAAGAAGCAGAGTGATTTAGTGCATTCTAGCAATCCAAAGACTTTTAGTGGCGTTGAATTACATAAAAAAAAGTTTAATTGCTTTAATTGAATTCTTGATAGAGTTACGTTTTTCTAAAATATTAAAACTTTTCCTCCCTTTCTTCTGTAGCTTCTTTTGCTTCTAGCTATACAACACACAGAAGTTGTGTATGTTGGCAGTAGCCATAACACATAAGCAGAGTTATTCCCTTTGCCAGAGGGTGTAAAATCTTGATCCCACTGATATTAGTGAGAATTTTGCTCTCAGCCTCAGTCCTTGAATAAAAAAAAGCACCCTTTAGTACAGCTGGGTTTGAGTTTTCTAACAGAAGCAATTAACTGTGACTGCTTAAGACATCTGTATCACACTTGTAATCTTACAGGTTGTTTAAAGAGGAACGAAAGAGATGCTTTTCTGAGTCAATGCAGATATTGCAAAAATGAAACAAAATCTTTTTGATATAGAGCTTTGTTTATTCCTCTTTTTGCTTTGGTCCATTTTGCAGCGAGATGGGTGTGGTTCATATATTTGATGTCTCATTTACAAAATTTTTAATCTTATTAGTAAAAGATAACTATTTTTAGCTTATAAAATAGAAGTAGTTTCACTTGTTGCTAGAATTTCTTTGTAGTCTGTTAAACTCTTAATGCTACTAGTTTTGTTTTTCTAAATGTACATACTTTAATGTGGAAATAATTATTTTTGCACACTGCCCCAACAAAGCACTATCCAGAGAGAACAAATAATGTTCACCCTTATTTCATGTGCTTCTAATCTATATTATTCTAGCTGAGGGACTTGTGAAAATGGTAACTTTTTTGTTTTGAATATGTGAACGATTTCCAGGTTATTTCTTTGCTTTGATTATTGCAAAGGAGACTTCAGTTTTCTGATCTTGAATTTCTGTTTCACTGATGATATTCATGCTGATGGTTTATCACAGCAGTGTGTCTTCTCTCTAACACAGACAATAGTAAATACAGCTTTGGCTTGAGGAAAGCTATTCTTTTCTTTTCTTTTCTTTTTTTTTTTTTTTTTTTTTTTTGTCTCTGTAGAAATACTGCAACACAGTCCAGCTTGATTCTGGAATAGACTACAGGAAACGAGTGCTTCCAGCTGCTGGAAAACTTTACTACCTGTAAGTTTATCTATGATATTGTATTTGCTCTCTTTTTCCTTCTTATTAGCCAACAATTTCCTAGTTAATGGGAAATGGAAAATGTATAGTAGAATTAGCAGGGTGTGACTTTTCCTTTTTTTGCCTTCTGGTCCATTTTGTTCAGCAAACCGCCTTCCATTATGCCTTGATATTAACTTCATTAAACTACATTTTCAGTATCCACACTAGCATCATTTATAATGTGTGACTGAATAAAAACTAATTAGATTTTTTGGGGAGGTGTGGTGTTTGGAGAACTGAAGTGACAGATGGTTAGAAAGTAATGAATATCCTCTTGTGAGAGATTGCACAATTCTCCTATAATAGAAGAACATCCTTATTGTATTTAAGTAATTAAGTATTTATAGAAATCCAATGACAAGGATTCATTTAATTTTGGGTGTTTCAAGTGCTGTGGATGAAAAAACCCAACACCCTCCTGTTTTGACAGATTGTTTCTGTTTGTCATGACAAAAATTCCGTAGCTTTTTTATATTTGCAAATAAATAAATTTTAAAATATATTCACAGTTATGGTTGCAGCACAAATCTGCCTAATAGGAACGTTCTCTCTTTTTTGTAAAAATACCTTTGCAGTGCAAACATTTTTCTGTCTTGTATTTGCTCTTGTAGTATTATTTGATCAGTGACAACCTGAACAAAGCAAACAACTTAGTATGAGATAAGCAGACTGCTTAGTATGAGATTTATAACTGTTCCGTGTTTCAACCCAGTGTATAATATTGATCATGCTTCCATTAAGAAAGGTGTGCTATTTTTATCACTGTGATAGGTATTTGAAACCAAGTATGTCCATGTCACTTTATTATAAAGTTAGACACCATAGTTGTTGTAGGAAGGAGGAATAATGCTTAGTAGAATTACAAGAGGTAACTCTTTCTGCTTCTGGAAGGAAATGACAGAATTTTATGTACGGAAAACACGTCCAGTGCAGGTTCTGTATCCTCAAACAAATTGTGACTGTATGAGCTCAAGAAAAGTAGCTCTTGTTCCATATTCTTGTCTGGCTCCACTTCCTCTAATCTTTGCGGTGTCTGCTTTAGCAGTTCTTTTTGAAGCCACCACTGATATCTCGGTGTTGCTCATCGTGGCTCTTGTTTGGATTGCCGCTGCCCCTGCTCATGGCACTGCTTCCTGTGCCTGCTGCACTCTGTGACTTTGTCTGACAATTGTGGAGAGCACCTGCTGTATTCTTTTCTCACTGTCCATGCTCTGAAGAAAGCAAGAGCACACTGGTGGTTTCTAACAGGTAATAGGCCTGTGGCATCAGCTCTCAGTGGGGAAGAAACACAAACAAGTCGCAGGACTTGTACTCAGCTGAAATATGTTTCATGGTGATCTGCTGTAAAACTTGTGATCAAGTGAATGGCAGAGATTGGTGATGTCTGTCTTGGTATTCTGTTATTGACAGGATGTGGGTTACCTTCAGAATTTGGTGTGTAAATCATTAGGGAGCAGTGAGGGGAACAAAACAATTTGAAAAATCCTGTAGCTGCCAATGGAATAAGATACTTATTTCATCATCCTTTCTTTTTCTGAGGGAATCTCATTCTTTCTTCTATTCAGACTTGTTCATTGGAGCTTTCAACACTGCTGAACTAGCTTAGTATGTGGGGATTCTTTTTTTCTGTTTGTTTTAAAATTAGGTACTATACAGTATTTTGCTACAGATCTTTGAAATTTAGTTAGCAGTCTTGCCCCCAAAAGAAGATGTCCTTGTCTAACGTGTTTTCATTCCTCTATTAAGGGTCATAGTATCATTGTCACATTTTGTTAAGAATCTCCTTGATGCTTCATGTTTTGTGTAGTCTTGTCTTCATTTAAAATATGCAACTGAGAGTTGCTTAAAGCTGTTTCATGCTCATCTGAGAGCCATCAGTGTAACACAATTACAAGATGCCTGATCAAAGCCACTTCATTGATCTCAGTCTCAGGTGTCTGTAAAATGAACTTTCTTGGCAATTAGGTGCAACACTCCACCTTGGCATCATGTTCAGCTGTTCCTTGTTGCAGCCTTTCCATCGAACTTTTTGATAATGGTATGCATGTGTAATGCACATTCTCTCTGATACAGATATATACAGTCTTTCCCCCCTTCTATGGCCTTTGTCCTGGTTTTGTCTGTTCATTTTCATTTGTCACTTTGTTGGAGGAAAGCAGCATGAAAATATCAATGTTGAGAGAAACTTGTACAATTTTATGTCATCTGTTAGTCAGAAATGTTTTTTAAAGTGTTCTGCATTTACAGAAGTTTGTGGGGTTTTTCCCCCAAATTCTCTGTATTTACAAGGTTTGTTATTGTTAATCTTGAGCTAAAAAGTAGTTACTTCAGTTCTGCTGTTAGTAAAGTGCTTAAGGCCTAATAAGGAGAGTAATTGTGTCACTTGCTGATCTTCATTTGTCATATAGAGGATTTCTAGAACTGAAGGAAGCAATAGACCTTCCACACCAAAAGAGACTGTACAAATTTCAATGAAGCTTTATATATTCTAGGTCTAGTTTGTTGTCTACGGTAGCATTAATTTACTATTCTTAGCCAGAAATATGATCTATCTGGCTGTATCTATCCATCTCTAAGAATGAAATATGGAAAGATTGACCCTCTAAACCCATTCAATGATAAAAAAAATTCTCTGATTGGACTGAGTTATAATTCTTGTATCAACCAGAAGATGAATATAAACTTAACTTCAGCCTCAGCACAGGTATTTTGCATTTTCACCATCTGTCTTGGGGACAGAGTTTGGGGGGGGAACTGATAAAATTACTATTGAAGAAATTATACTGGTATTTTTAATTTCACAGTTTAATTTTGCAAATTTTTAGATCGATACAATCAGTTGACTTGACCCCTCCCCTGACCCCCCCAAAAAAAGAAAAAGCTGCTTCAGCATTTAATTTCACAAAGTCCCCTTTCAGAAATTTCAAAGAATACTTCTTTAGGTGCTTGACTGCCTTGCCTTGTCTATTTGCTCTTATTTTGCATGCAAGATAGAGCCAGAAGCCTTTTTTCTCATTGTGTACACATAGTGTTAATGGATCTGCTCTGTCTGTATTGCCTCATTACTGGAAACAGCTCAAAACACAGAAGTCTTTCAGTGTATGCAAATAAGGCAGAATCATCTACCTGAGAGTTAATATTCTCTACTTTTAAGTGTATTCTAAATGTAATGTTTGTATTTAGAGCATAACATCCTGTTCCCTTTTTTGATGGGCAAAAAGCTAAGCAGGCTCAGGCAGCTGTTTGATGTTGGCTTCAAGTGTTATTAATTTCATATTCTATTATTCTTTTCACTGTAGCACAAGTGAAGCTGATGTGGAGGCTGTCATGGATAAGTTGTTTGATGAGCTGGCTCAGAAACAAAATGATTGTACGTAAGTTAATTTCTCTTGAAAGAGAATACATTTAGAACACAATGCCCAATCTCCACTGACCAATTAATAAGTTCCATTGCTGTATATGGGTTGATGCCACACTCAAGTGGCAGTCATTGTATCAGCATTTTGTCTAATTTATGTGTTGAATCATGTGCTATTATTCATGAAGCTATGCATTTCCTATCTGTAAGAGATGAATTTTATAGTAATTATCCAGAGAAGATTGAGTCTTTGTTCATGTTCCCATAGTAACTAGACCAAGGATTCTAAAAGTGCAAGGCAGAGAGCTGAGGCTGAATAAAGCGTGTGGAACCATTGCAGACTTCACGTTTGAAGAGCTGTGCGACAGAGTAAGTACCCAGTCCAATCTAGATCAGTTAATGCTCAGACTTTTTGCAGTTTAAAAAAAAAAAAAAAAAAGCAAAAAAAAGAATCCAAAACACACATTCACTATTTTCCAAGTCAAACTAAATTTTATTTTTTTTTTTTTTAATTTGGCAGAAAGATTTTGAATTTAGCAGGACAAAAAACCCCACCCTTGGCAGAAGAACAATAATAATTTTCTTTTTAATGATACAGTAAATTCACTCTTAGGTGTATCACAGATTGCCTTCAAAGATCCCACTACAGTATTTGCCTGGACTAACATTGTTGTTGGTATATTAGTAGTCATAACATATCTGTATGTAAATAGCATTCAAAAGCTGTTTTTAAAACCTGGGGTTTAAGTTGATGTTCAAGTAAATGAGTTGTGATCCTGACACCACTACAGTAACACTGCTGTTGCATGCTTTAGTTTCAACTATGTGTACAAGGGCTGTTCAGTCCCAGGACTTCTCAAAATATGACAGATTTTGGTAAATATTGCCAAATTCTCTGCTTAAACATGTGGGATGTGATTCCTGGAAAGCTCTATGTATATGACTCCCATTGGGTTGGAACACAGTTCCCCAGGAGTTTCACTGTACTTGGTGACCTCTCTGCTGATATATAAAGTTATTGTTAAGTGACCACAACCCTAAACTGGGCTGATGGCATTTTGATTCAGGATTCTGACTAGTCTTTTGATGATTAACATTATGCTTTCACTTCCTTGTAGCTACCAAGTTGATAACTATTTGGACAGAAATTTCACTGGTTAAGTTTCAGACTATAGGTTTTAGACTGTTGGTTTTCAGTTTCAGACAAAACCATTGAGCCATTTGTAAGAATGAAGGTATGTAATGGGTAGAACAGCTTGCTTTTCACTAGAAGTTGTGAGACTTTTTCTTCCTCGTGCCTCTTAAAATATCGAGAAGCGATGCTGTCAGCAGGTACTTTTAAAATCCTTTAGTCCAGTAAATGCCTTATGTACTTATACTGGATGGTAGGTTGCTTCTAAGTAGAAGTGCTCTGATAGCTCACATGTCAATGGCCGCTACTTTGGGTCTGAAGGTCCTGATCCTCTTTCAAGAATTACTTGGGATTCAGGTCTTCTTGGCTTAATGGAGCTGAGGGGCTCGGCTTGCACTCAGAACAAGTAAAGAGAATCCTTATGAAATGTTAAACATTGTTTAACAGTACTGTGTTAACACTGACTGCCCAGGACTTAGGAAGTCATGCTGTCTTGATTTAGATGCCTTCTGCATATGTGTTATGGTAGTCTCTTAACAGCACAACCACGTGCTTAAAACTAAAACAATGTGGCAGACAAGAAATGTTTTTCTTTAACAGCTTCCTCAGTCATCACTTGTTTTGTTTGTCTATGCCTCCATTTGTTTCTACCTTTAATTGTTGTATAGTTATTTATTGTGCCATGATTTTTCTCTGCAGTTCACTGATGTACATTCATAAATATTACATTAATCTGTTTGTTAGGGGGTATCACTGTGCTCCTTTTATAAGTAGAGAAGTATAGTCATGAACTTGGAATTGTCCATTAAATTTGGAGGCTTCAGTTGCCTCCAGTATGATTTTTTTCACGATTATAACTTCTGTAGTGATTCATAGCAACAGTAGAAAATTCTCCTTGGTATAAGCTGCATTTAGGATTGTGCCTGCCCCACTGCTCTGTTTGCCCACCCTGTTGCCATTAAAATCTCCTAAAAGGCAAAAGAAAAATTTAGAATTCAGCTGTCAAACCATGAAACCATGTTCCTTTTTTTCATGAAGTCTTTTAACTTTTTGATGGAAAAACTTAAACATGCAGTGTCTTTTTTAAACCATCGGAGTTGCTCCCACTCATGTCACAGAAGACATAGGTAGGATCCAGAAGAATGCCCTGGTGGTTTATAGCAAAAAATACCCCAAAGTCAGGAGACATTCCACACAACAGGAAGTATAAAGTCATTCATATATATTCCAATAAACTGGAATGGGAAGTGGCAAAGATTTGTGGAAGTATAAAGCAGAAATCTGTAGGAGAATAGCTACAAGGTATTTACTCCTTCTTGTGAAGCCATATGGTAGATAAGTTAACAGGCATCATAAGTGTTACTGTTAAGAAAAAGGAAAGTAGGAGGCTGAAGAAGATGTAATGAAAAGCAAGATCCACAAAAGAAAGTACTGGAGGGGAATTTGTTGGATTTGCGTGGAGTGAATCTGCAGGTTTCTTTGGGCAGGATATAGGGACAAAGTCCCATGGGAAGGCAGATTGTATAAAAAGACACATGGGGCAGGGAATCTTCCTAGCTGGAGTCTGTAGCAGCCAGGGTGGAGCTTGAATGATAGCCCAAGCAAAGCCTCCTAGGTAGATAAATGACATTTAAAGTTACTATTGTAGGAGTCCATTGAAATTATAACAGAATTGAAAACAAGATTTGCTGCTGTAAGACCTGGAGACAAGCATGATAAATGGTAAATTCTCATTGATGGGGCAAAATGAGGTATAACTGATATTACTGAAACCTTGTGGACAATTCATAAAATAATAATGTGGAATCAGTGCTTACAGCCTACTTAAGGACAGAGTGGCTAAAACAGGTGGAAGACAATGTGCAACATTAAAGATACTGATACCTGCCTTAAAGTTAATTAATGCAAGGTTCTTGAATACATATCAATCAGTCTGCTAATTAACAAACCCAAGAGGGTATTCATAGGGATCTCTTGCAAATGGAGAATGAGGTGAATTGCTTCTTGAGCACTTGGCTATAAAAAGCATAAAAAGAAAATATACCATTGTGTGGGAATCTTATGCTGTAGATGAAGCACAGAAGAAGGTGAAATGTAATTATTCCCAAAATTGCAAATGATAATTTTCTAGCATAAAATGCAATACATCCAGTACAAGGTCATTTGGTTGGAACAGCTTTATGGGAACTAAAGTGATGAATTTGTATAGAAATTTGTGTTGTATAGCAACAGTCTTCTCAATTTTCTAAAATTCATTGAAACCAAAAGATAATTCCAAACAGTGAAGTTACATATTTGAGTGTTCAGGAAGAGTAGTTTTCAAAAGCAGAAGGGAAGTATGCCTAACTGGAAAGGGAAGTGTAAATGACAACAACAAAAAGGAACAAGAAGGACTCTTTGAGAAGGAAGATAGGAAAAGTATTTCCTGTGCCACTGTTGAGACAGAATCAAATAATATGGAATGAATGGCAACTAGTTATGAAGTGCAGGAAAATTATAAAATAAAGATAATGGGAAAATATCATGTCTCTCAGATAAAAGACTTGTTAAGTAAAATGGCAGTTTTGATATGGTTTATATTATCTTAATGTTATTGGCTTATTGCTAGTTTGGAGATGGATGAAATTTAAATAATGATGTGGAAAAAGGAAAAGGTTTTGCAAAAAAGATATGTTCTAGATGAAGCTGAGTGAAATACTGTTTCACTAAAGGGTAGTGAAATAATTTTCAGTCTGTTAATAGCATATGTTAAAAGTAGCCTGCAAATACATTTTGTATCACTGGAGTCCTGGAAAACTAGGCTGAGATCTCTGACTACCTTTTTATTTTGGATAAAAGTTGGAGTCCAAGAGAAAGTCTACATCACTAGAAGGCACACTCTGTATGGCAGTATTAAAAAATAAACAAGTAAAATTCATGCATACACATGATGACTGGTATAACTGCAGGATGTTGGTCAGATTTTAGTCCAGAAGGGGTAATAGAGGAGCTGGTTCTGGATTCATATATGTGGATGACTAAAGAATGGAAATGAAACTGATTCTCCAATCTCCCTGATTTTGTAGGAGGAGCTGAGTTTTGAAGATGCTGTTCTTACTAGGAAATTAGCATTGTGCAGTCTCAAGGAAGCATTCGTTAAATGGATTGCTATGTTAGTTAACTAACATATAAAAAGAATTATTACTGAAGGTTTGTTGTTGAGTGTAGCATTTCTAATGAGCACATTTTTATACTAAGCCAAATATAGTTTTTCCCCAGCAGCTTTGAATATAAGATAAATGCTAATACAAATTTGCTGTAAATACGGAGTGCTGTGTGTATTGGGGGGAGGAGCAGTGAATACAAGGATGCTGTGTGCGATTTATTTTTCATCTGAATGGAGATTTTGGGGAAAGTGTGTTTTTTTGGCGAGAGAGTTTGTTTTGTTTTGCTTTTTTTACATCTAAGCAAACACAAAGTTTACAGCTAGAAATTGGGAACCCAAGTCACAAACACAGGAGGAGACTGTGCCCTAGGCAAAGTGACTTGGAAATAGATTTAAGGATTGTAATGGACAAACAGCTCAAAAGGAGCTTCCGGTCCAGTGTTAGAGCATTTAGACCGTATTTCGTCTAGGGTGGGTAGAGTGGAAATAAATAGGAGGGTAGGACGTTTACTTTAATTTTAGAAACATCTCAGGTTGATGGTAGAATGTTAGGTGTGGTTCTGACCTAAAAACTTTAGAAAATGCATTGAAAAACCTGACAGAGCTGTGGAAGAAACCACAAATCATTTGAGCTGCAGCAGATGGCAGACTTACAGTTCAGTTTTTTCAGCTTATCAGAAAGAGGACTGGAAGATGATTTTATAAGATACAGCTATTTTCACAGGGGAAAAAAAATAGAGGTATTAGTGGGATCCTAAATCTAGCTGAAGAAGGCATAATAAAACCCAGAGACTACATTTGAAACAGCGAAGGGAATGGCAGAGCCTCCTTGTACTGTGTTTCAGGTCAAAACTGGATGTCATTTTAGGAGGAGGTGTTTGTGTTTGAGCTACATACTAGTTTTTAGGCTTAGCTGTCTCTAAAATGCAGGATCTTGAAGTACCTCATGATCTTCTCTTCTCTTGAAACTAGGGATGTGAGAATCGGTCCCTGCTGCCTGTTGGAAGCTGTGTCACTTCCTGCATGTGTGGTGAACAGGTTTAAGCAGCTGGCAGGGGAATGTCCCCAGTCCATCCTGAAGGATAACCTGCT